GCCCTCTGGCATCCCAAGCCAGTTCTTAACCATTGCACCACTCGGCCGGCCCGAGTAGAAGCTTTTTTGTTTATAAATTATTAAAAAATGAGGATGGGGACAGCCAGTTAGCTCAGGTGATTAGAACATAGGCTCTTAACACCAAGGTTGCCAATTCGATTTCCACTTGGGCCAGTGAGCTGCACCCTCCACAACTAGATTGAAAACAGCGACTTGACTTGGAGCTGATAGGTCCTGGAAAAAACATACTGTTCTCCAATAAAGTTATAAATAAAATTATAAATAAATAAATAAGTAAGGATGTACCCTTTTCAAAAACCATGTGGTGTCTCACGAGTTTTACCTGTCTTTTTTTATAGGGCCGGGTAGTGGAGAATATTTCAAAAAGATGTGGGGGCTTTTTACGAAAGTTAAGCCTTCGTGGGTGTCTTGGAGTAGGAGACAATGCATTAAGGTAAGAACATAACTACTGATTAACTGATGTCCTTGACTGAAGTAAAGAAAGCACCATTTCACCCAGAAAAGGCTAAAATGGTTTTAAGCTATTTATAAAAAAAGTTAGAGCTTTCTTTAAGCTGTTCTGAACCCAAACACACATACATTGCATAGAACACAAAAATATCCAGTAGTGTATGGTTTTAAGAATAAAACAAGAACAAGTGCCCCCTCCAAAAAAGCCAGATTCCCCATATTGTAAATGGTTCTTTTGGAGCGTTCAGTAAATTTTGTTTGTTGATTGGTTTGTTTATTCAAAGTTAAGGTAGCTTTAACCTTGGTTGACAAAAAGATAATATTTAAAAGTTTATGGTTGAAAATTAATCTATTTGTAATTGTGAACCACTTTTGCACCAACATCCAATATTACCAATAACATATCTTTTGTTACTTTTTTTAATGCCTAGAATTGTTTGCATTTTATTTCAAACCTTTTACTTTGTTTCTTTCCTGTAAAGGACCTTTGCACAAAACTGTAGGAACATTGAAGTACTAAATCTAAATGGATGTACAAAGACTACAGACGCGTAAGTAGTTTATGTTTTGGAAGGGTAAGTCATAGCCCATTGTATCCTGCCTATATTAGCTTTAAATGCATGCTGCGAAATATATTTAGCAAATTTCATTTTGGTTTTATAGAGGAAAGATATTTTAAAAGGAGAAAGTGACATTAAAGTAGAAACAGAATAAGAAGTTTATTTTGAAATCTGGCCCAAATCCTATCTTGATATTTTAAGTGAAACTTAAAAATTGTATTCAATGGATATGCTATAGGTATACTATTGATATAAATTACTAGAACTACTTACATTTCCAGAAGATACTGGTAGCTGTCATTCAAACGACACGGTAAACAGATGATTCTATAAAAAGATGAAACTCTTAAACATGGGACTAAACGGTTTGTGATAATATTGAGAGCATTTATTAACTGACTCTTTGAATATACTGTGTCTGTGTCGGTCACAATATAAAAGAAATAAAACGTAGTCCTTCATCCTTGAGAGTTTACTGTCACAGACATAATAGACATGAAGGTAGATATAAAATCCATTCAGCCCAAAGATATCTATTGGTAATATCATGTACCAAATAACATTTCAATATTATGTAGGGAGATTATTGCCTATTGTGAGGTAAAATGAAGCCACTGAAGAAACATGGTTACACAGGGAGGGGCCAAGATTATTCACTGAATCTTCCCGTTCAGAATGTCCTCACAAAAGAGGACTTTTAGAATTGCTTGAATGAAGGAAAGTGGGAAACACTCCAAGCACAGGGTACACATTGTTTATTTTATTTTTGAGGTCACAACATTGTTAACTTTTAATATACAAAAGTGTTTGAAAGGCAAGGACTATGGTTATTAATTGATTCTACTAACAAATATTATCCTTATGGATTGATTTAGAAATCTTTAATTCGAGAGACAATTTACTAATCCCTCCCCCAACTTTGACTTGAGCTCTCTACATTTACTTTAGATAAATTACCTATTTATTTTTTCTTTTAAATACTTAATATGTCAGATATTAAGAATAATCAAAAGCTAATAAAAATGGTTACTTGTGGGGAGAGAAAACATGAAGAGACAGGGATGAAAGGGAGACCTCTGAAGTATTGTGTTTTATAGTTTTACTTTAATAGCCATGTAAATGTTTTACATATTTAAAACATGAATTAAATAAAAAAGAAGTCAAAGCAGTTCCTAACAATTGAAACAAAATAAAACACATGAACCCAGCCATATCAAGTTGGAGCTATAACCACCCTGAGAGAAATGATGTCTACTGACTTTTGACTTCTTAGGAAAAATTTTAAACATATGCAAAGGTAGACAAAATTACATAGTGAACCCATCGCCCAGCTTCAAATAGATAATTGAGAAATTGTCATTTTATGGCTAGTCTTGGGTCATCTTATTTTTCTTATTTTGATAAACATCCTAGACATCATTATTTAATCTGTAAATACACATTTATAAAATATGCATTTCTAAGAGATAAAAGCTTTTAACATAGACGCATTAACTTTATCACTCCTATAAAAAATTTTTAATATTTTAAAATCATCAAATAGCTCCTGGTCAGTGTGTTCAGACTTCTGTTGGTTCTAATGATTTTACAAAAAGCACTATTTTAAACAATGTAAAAGAAAATGATAGAAACTTTAAGAATCAAAGATGGAGACTTTTGCTTTTGACCATGAATGACAGTAACTGCCCTCCTGCTGTAAACAACTATAAAACTGTACAAAACATAGAAAACAACCAGCTTGATATGTTAGACAACATGCAGCACAGGACTGAGAAACATATGAGGTGAATCCTATGATTACCCTGGCTACAGAAATCTACATAGGTTTGGCTGAATAATAAATTATATATGCAAGTATTGAGACCCCAAAACTGAGCCAAGAACATCTGATAAGGAAAGAACAATTATTGGGAAACTGTAAACTGAAGAATTGCCAGAGCTTAAATAAGGCTGGGAGAAGTTCTAACTACCCAAAATGGAGAAAGCTCATTGAACACCTTGGGACATTTAATAAAAACTTAAGAAAAGTCATACCTTGGTAGTAGAACTAAATTAGACCCACCCTAATAAAGATTAAAAGAAAAAATTTAGGATCAAATTGATTTACAACTAACATAACTGCCTGCCAAATCAAAACTCAACCCTTTTTAAAGGAAGACAATAAAATATAGACATTCAGCAATTTAGCAGATAGAATTTCTAGCATTCAATAAAAAATTATAACACATGCAAAGAAGCAGGAAATGATAAAATGATACCAGAAGAACCAGAAAGAAAAACTAGCCAATAGAAACAGACCCAGAAAGGACAGAGATTATAAAGAATTTACAAATAGCAAGTAACAGATCTGCTCAAGAATTTAAAAGAAAACTTAAAGATAATATGGAGATTAAAAGGATGGCAAAAAATAGACTATTACGAACCTAGTCACGGGAAACTTGGAGTGGTTATTAATATCAGATGATGTGAACTTCAGGATAGAGAGTAGATGAGAAAGATATTTAATAGTACCATTCTCTTCCAGTAAATGATAAAGCAAGTAGACCAAAAGCAGTCAAGTTATGGAACGTTTGAGCAATACTATCAGTGAATGTGTCCTAATTGACATTTATAGAATGCTACACCAAAAAGCACCAGAATGAGCATTTTTTTCAAGTACACTTGGACTATTCAATAAGACACAACAAGTAATGGGCCATAAAATAAATTTCAATAAATTTAGACGGATTGAAATCATAGTGATTATTTCACAGCCTCAACAGTATTAAAGTAGAAACCAATAACACATACCTGAATAGTTTGAAAATTAAATATCACCCTCGTGAATAACCCATGAATCAAAGAATAAATTACAAAGAAAACTAGAAAATACGTTTTGCTTTGCGATAATGAAAACACAACATTTAAAACTTGTGAAATTCACCAAAGGCAGTGCTTACAGCAAAATGTATAGCTTTAAATGCTTATGCAGGTGTCCCCTGCTGTCCAGAACAGTGTTCCTATTGCAACCTTTCATAAACCAAAATGGCATAAAGCATAGAAGCAATTACCTTAGGACACATCTTGCTAACAGATGCATGAAGTAAATTGAGATAAGGCACAGGTGCTCACAGACATAGTTCAAAACTGTGGTGGCTTGATGCTGCGATGCTGACTGTAGCTCCTGGGGAAGAAGCTTGGCAGTACCGCTCTCGCCGCTTGGGGTGCTAGCTGCCTCTATAACTGCTTGCTACAAAACAAATACTGAACAATATTTTCACTTTTCATAAAAGCAAAAATCTCTTCTGATTTCTTTCAGTTAGCAAAAACAGGTACTAACGTAGGGCTTTCATAAAAGTGAAGTGGCATGAAGTGAAAAGTGGAGGATAATGGAATTAGAAAAGAAAGGCTTAAAATCAAAGACCTAAACTTCCATCTTAGAAAACTAGAAAAATAAAAGAAAGCCCACGATAAGTAAAAGGAAGGAAATAAAAAATGTAATGGTGGAAATCAATGAAATAACAAGTAGACAGAATAGAGAAAATCCATGAAATTAGAAGCTGGTTCTTTGAAATAAAATCAATAAGCTCGATTAATCTCTCTCTAGGTCAGTCAGGAAAGAAGACACAATTGCTAATACCAATATTGTAAACAGAAATATAACTACAGATTCTGCACACATTAATTAAAAGGATAATAAGAGAATACTATGAGTAATTTTATGCCAATAAATTTGACAACTTAGATGAAATGGATAAATTCCTTGAAAGACAAAAATTGCCAAAAATGACAAGAAAAAAGAAATCTGATTAGTCTTCATCTTTAAAAATTGGATTGATGGTTAAAAACCTTCCCACCAAAAACAAAAACAAACAAAAAAACTAAAAAACCCTCCAGGCTCAGGTAGCTTCAGTATCAAATGCTATTGAACATTTCAGAAAGAACAATGTTATAAAATACTTTCAAAATAATAGAAGAGGAGGGAAAACTTTCTAGGTGATTTTATGAGGCCATCATTACTCACCACAAATTAGACAAAAATTACAAGAAAGGAAACTGCAGCACAATAGCCCTCATGGACAAAATATTATCGAAAGTGAATCCGTCAGTATAGGAGAAGGGTAATGAATCATAACCAGCTTGAACCCCAGAAGTGTAAGGTTGTTTGTTTTAACATGCAAAATCAGTCACTGTTATTAAATTCCAACTTAGTAACATATCAAAGAAAAATTACATGATTATCTCAATAAATCCAGAAAAAGCATTTTACAAAATTAAACACCCATTAATGATAAAATATCCAAACAAACTAGGAGAAGGTAACTTCCTCAACCTAATAAATTGTATGGAGTCACGAGCTCTTAAGGACAGGGTTACATTCTGAGAAATGTGTCATTAGGTGATTTCATCATGCAAACATCACATAGGTACTTATACAAACCTACACGGTATACCCTACTACTATAATTATATGTGTTGTACTTTTATATGACTGACAGCACAGTAGGTTTGTTTACACCAGCATTACCACAAACGCTTGAGTAATGCCTTGTGCTATGATGTTAAACAATGGCTACAACATCACTAGGCAATAGGAATTTTTCAGCTCCATTATAATCTTAATGGACCACCATTGAATACGTCATCCATCATTGACTGAAACATCATTGACCAAAACATCATTATGTGTCTCTGCGGTATATGAAAAACCTACCACTAACATATTTAATCATAAAAGACTGAATACTTTCCCTCAACATCAGGAACAAGGCAAGGCTATTGGGTCTACCATATCTATTCAACATTGTACTGGAAGTCCACCTAGTACAATAAGGCAAGAAGGGTGGGGGCATGCAGATTTGAAAGTAAGAAATAAATGGCATGATAAGGTTATAGCAAACAGGAAACATGACCAATGTGCAAAATCAATTCTATGTCTGTATACCAGCAATGAACCATTGAAAAATAAAATTTAGTGTAACAGCATTTATGGTAACATCCAAGAGCATAAA